ACGGCGCCGGTCTCCTGATAGCTGAGATCGCGCACCCTCAGCACCGGGCCAAGATCTCTGCCATCGTCAACTGCATGTACGGAGTCGGATCAACCAGCTGCTCCTGGCTGGCTCTAGCAACCATACGAATCATGGGCGACTGGTCTTGGAGGTCGCTCACCATACTTCAGGCGTTCCCCGGCCTCTTGGTCCTCTCGCTCATCTACTGGATCCCAGAGTCACCTCGCTGGCTAGTCGCCAAAGAACGTTACGAGGACGCTGAAAACATGCTATCCACGTACCACGGCAACGGTGATAAGACAGATGAGACAGTGGTATTTGAGTTTCGAGAGATGAAACAGACTTTGGCTCTTGAGTTCCAGGATAAGAAGTCCAGCAGCTATTTCGACTTTATGCGGACTGCGGGCAATCGGTATAGGGTTGTTTTGTTGATCTCACTGGCAATGGTGTCTCAATACAGCGGCACAAATCTCTTCTCCAACTACGCAAACAAGATTTACGAGGGTGCTGGCATTCGCGATCAGACAAACAAGGTTCTGGTGAGTATCTATCTATCTCACTGGGCATTAACTTCCATCTTGAAGCATTCTGACGGCTCATTTCCAAACCCAACAGCTCAGTGGCGGTCAGACGCTCTTGTCTCTCGTCGTCTCGGTGTCCTTCTCATTGTGCATAGACCGATTCGGTAGAAGACCACTATTCCTCACAGCCACCACAGGAATGGTGCTGATGTACATGGGATGGACCATCATTAGCTCCCAGTTCGAGCGGACTCACGACCTTGCCCGGTTTGGCTACCCCCAAATCGCCTTCATCTGGCTGTTCAGTCTCTCGTATCAGATCGCATGGACCGGGGTCATGGCAGCCTACGCGTTGGAGATCATGCCATACAGTCTCAGGGCGAAGGCCGGCGTCATATCAACTATTTTCGTCAAGGGGCTGATCGTCCTAGGAAGGTGAGGTCACATCATGTGTGAGATTCCCAAGCTCACATTTAATGCTAATGCGACGCGTTCTTCAGCTATACCAACCCCATTGCTTGGGATAACTTCACAGCAGCCGGTCATGCATGGACACTGGCCATGCTCTACACTGTAAGTGACCCTAGCCTTGTGGTCAGCTCTATAATTGCCTCAACTGATTCGTCCGTAAGATCCTGGACTTTTGTTATCTTTTGTTCGTGTATTTCTTCTACCCAGAAACAAAGAATCTCACTTTGGAAGAAGTCGCCAAAGTCTTCGACGGCGATGAGGCAAAGGTTGCAAGGATGGACATGGAGGACGTTAAGAATCAGGTGGAAGAAGAAAAGAAGAGGCAGAGTCACGTTGAAATCATCGCCCTGTGATGGACCAAGAAAGGTGAGGAGTGTTTCCTAGAGTAGGAGGTGCCACAGTCATTTTGTGCACTACGGCCCGCGAAAAGGGCTGAGATCTTCGGGAATCGAGGAAACTAAACAAAGAGCCAAACTATCCGACTTAGCTCAAGCGTAAAATTACACTACGGCCATAAGAGCAGAAGATAGCTTCGAGCTCGCAACGGGCATTACGTCCCTTACTAGTGTAGTAACATTCCTCGATCCGGTCCAGTGCAGCCTGTGACGATTCGGGCCGTGGCCTGGACCACAGCGAGATGAGCTACTCTCATAACTCCGAGGAATGTTCCGACCTCTGCGAGGTGACGAAGGACCCTTACCCATATCATCGCAAAAGGGAAAACGTCTTCCTTAGCCTCGATCCTCGATTACCTAACCGCTCGGGAACCCGATAGCCGAGGAAGCCATTCTCCCGTCACACAATAACCGTGCAACCGCAAACGGCCTTGCGAGTTCCTCGCTCGCGTTCGTACACAGTACGAAGAAGTCGAGGCACTCTATTCATTCCTGAAAGAGCTAGAAGAGTCCTGGATGGTTGTGTCATTCGTTATTTTCAAAAGTATCGTGATTTATAGCGAATTCTACCAATATTGTATCTTTATCTAGCATTACTAAACACAACTCGTTTACTGGAACTATCACTGGTTGATACTCACCCGGCAGCGAAAATTCTTTTTGTATGGACCAAACGGTAGATTCCGCCGGTAGTTGATGATTTTGGCCAGTAGAAATCCGAAAGTTCTTATCTCCAAGTTGTCAAATTACCCGCATAGACTGAGAAACATATAGACTTCTCTATATGTTCACTACATCTCTCTATTTACTGAATAGAGTGCTGTTTCGTCTCAAATCCAGCCTCTTCATGCACTGGTAACAACAACCCATTCGTCCTCGCGAAATCAGACCGAGCTTTCTCACTCAACCAAATGCTATCAACCTTGCTGGCATCTAGTCCTTTTGAAGCTGCGGCATCTTTCATCGCCTTCAGCTCGTCTTCAATCCTCTTTTCCTTGAAGCAAAAGTTACGAGGGTACCAAAACTTTCGCTCCCGCGTGGGCTTGAACTCCGGGATAGACTCTCGGTCCAGTGCTCGAAGAATGACCTGTTCCGCAAGGGTCTAGACAAACTTAGCGTTGTCATAACGGCATCTCTCATATGACCTACATAATTCTTGTCCAGTCGATCTAGATGAAGCTGGTCCTTCAGGGTGACATGGGTGTTTGTGATGACGCAAGCATAGTGGTGATAGTTGTAGTTCGCTGTGTGCGGAACGAGACCGTGAAGGATGAAGACGTCGCCCTTCTTCGCCTCAACAGTCTGAAATCAGTATCTCGCACTCGCGCACGCCGACGGTCAGATCATCAGCGGTTAAAGCTGGGTCGATACCTTCAAGGTGGTCGTAAAGTCGCTTGCAAACCTCTGCAGTAATGTAAGTAGTCAGCAAGAGTTCAATAGCCATCAAGTCTGAACCAGACATAATAGTGGTCTATGACAGCTGGACTGGATTCATACCTCGTAAGCCATCCTCGCATAACAGAGTACCTCCACCTCCTGGTGGAATATCCGTGAAGCAGTTAATGACCGTCAACGTCGTTCCCGAGGAGTCAAGAAATTGTCGGAACCAGTCATTGTCACAATGCAAGCCGCCCTTTTGCTTGGGCGAGTTCACGTCGTCTGACTCTGGGGACCTGGACTCGGAACCAAAGTTGACCACAAAATTATCCCCCACCCAGCGTCATCGCTCGTCATCCCATCCTTCAACACCGCCGATGATATCAGTGATTTTGTCAAACGCCTTTGGCGCGAACTTCTCGTAACGAAATTGCCGATGGAAGGGCAAGTGAAGGTATTCCTGTGCCCATGTGGATTTGTCGCCAGCATCATACCCGCAACGGACCCAAAGATCCTTCATCCACCGCTGTGTAACATCTGGAAGGCGTGCTGGGTGGTGCGTAGATAAACCTCTCTCCGGGCTTAGCGAAAGATTTCGGTGTAAGGTGCCATGTTGAGAAATGTGCGGAAGGCTTGAGAGTGAGCTGCGCTATGCTTCTGGGAATCATTCATCATTCATTTCTGTTCCTCTGAGCGGCGGGCTATTTATCATGGATAAAGTCCCTTCGGCAGCTATGTGACATGGATGTATCGGTCGAGCATCATCCGAGTAAACCGGTTCCCCTCACGACAGCGCCACACTTTCATCCCAAGCTCAATCATGAAGACTGGTCACGATAATCACTATCGCCTTGCTTTTGAGGCAGTATCAGCCATGAGAAAACTCTAAAACACAGCTTGTCGGCCTATGCTCAACCGAGACCGGCTCTACGATAGATATCTTTCTCTGAACCTGAGTCTCAAGTCACTGAGACGTGATTCAGGGAGTCTACAAGTATTCAGTAACCAAAACGGATGATATCGCAAGTAAAATGTACAGCATAACGTGACTGCCGATGCTGTATATGGATACGCGTTTCCGAATTTACAGCCCACTTCGGTCTATATTCCAGCGTAGATACATGTATGTAGACAGGGAAGGTACTGGTCGCGAGAGTCGAGACCGTTCTGGATTAAACCAGGGACAGAATACTAATTACAGTAGGCATCAGCAAACTATCAATGTGATACGCACCATCGGAGAGTTTTGCACCGATGGGTATCTGAATAGCCGCGGGGTCTTGATCCTCCTCATCGCGTACTCGGCATTGATGTATATGCCGAAGGGTAACGGTAGGGATCCAAGTCAGACTCATTGCCATTTGGTTGCCTAAATGTAGGACTGTACCTACTGGAGTTGGCACAGTCTCGTGAAGTTTTTTGGAGTTGACCCCTCACGCCAATCTCCTCGAAACAAGGGAGTGACTGCAATCGTGCCTCCACGCGACTAATAGCGTTCAAGGGCAATTGGTAGATGCTGCAATAATGTGATTGTTCAATATGTAATTGCGTGAATTCATTCTTGTTTTCTCTTCAACATCAGAGGAACGGGGGCGTAGACGTACGTCCATCTGGCCAGATCGAACTAAGCCGTATCTAAACGCCCACCGGCGCAAGAGGCAACAAGCCTCCGGAGATCTTGTGTGACGACCAGCCATGTCATCTTCCGCCCGTACGAAATACCTACCACTAACGTCCAGATCCCAAGCCTCAATCCACCATCACGCACATCATCACTGTTCTGACGTTGGTCAGCTGCAGTCAAGTATGGTCACACACTAACGCTGAACCGAACAAGACAGGTGGGCCCCGCAATATAAGCATAGCTCTTTGACGACGCCGTCCGAAAGCAGCCCGCCCGCGTCCGCTCCCTCCGCCCCGTCACACCCGGAAACGGCGCTGCAGCCTTTCGCACAGGAAGGGAGGACCGGTTCAGTCACTGGTTCTCCGGCCCGCCTCTTGCGTAGCTGGCCAATCATTTTCCTCTTTCCTCGCAGAACTGTTGCGATGCGGGTTTAGCTCCGTGGCTTGAGGCTCCCGAGATTTGGGTTAGTCGGTGTCTGCCTCTGGTCGAGATCTACCCTTCAAGAGGCGGCGGCGGTAAGACATTCTTTTGGCGAAGAGGGTATGTCTCGGATAGACTTGTCTTGGGCGGGCCAGGTTTCGTCAACGGAGGAGGTTGAGCTGAAGAAGAAGAGAGAAAGCGGGAGGGACGGGTTGTGTGACATCGAATGGCGAGGATGGTGCTTAGATTAGGAGGAAATAAATACAGACGTTGCATCCTTCTTGGTTTTAAGAAGATTCCCAGCACTCAACCACTTCAGCAACGGTCTTGGACAATCATCAACAAAGACACTCTCGCCTGTGCGCTCTACATCTCACTCAGGTCGATAGAAACCTCACTTCACTCACCTAACTTTCTACCTTCTAATCACATCACGATGCGTTTCTCATCCATCCTTGCTGGCTTCGCCGCCCTCTCAGTATCCTCAGCAACCCCAGTGCCACTCAGCTTCCTCCCCTTCGGCAACCTCCCCTCCCAATCAAGCACAGGCGCAAGCATCATCGCCAACCTCGACACCCTCCAAGGCTCCATCCTCAAGCTCACAACAACCCTCAACGGCCTCGACTACACCACCGGCAACAGCCTCAGCGTCGCCAACATTCTCAAGCTCCCCGCGGTCCTCCTAAACACAATCGGCCTCAACTCGGCCTCCTCCTCCACCTTGCTCGACGCAAAGGCCCTCACCCTGGCCCTAAACTCCACCGACTCGTCCGCCATCGTCACCAAGCTCACAAACGAGATCCAGCCTGCGCTCAAGACGGTCACGGATCTGTTGAACAAGGCCAAGACGTCTGGGATTGTGGCTTCGTTGACACCGCTTGGCCAAACTGATTACCTGAAGCTGATCTCGACGAACCTCGGTGGTCTCGGGACTGCTCTGTCGCCTTACATCGACACTACCTCGCAGTCTGGTTTGACCGGCGTGACTGCCACCCTCAGCAACCTCCTGAAAGCCACCGTCAACGTCTATACCTCCTGAGAACAAGTCTACCCAAGTTTGGATTGGCAACGGCCGGTGTGAAAGAGATGGAAATGAACGTGAGAGTTAAATGGATAATGATTGGACACGGCTGGAAAAATGAGATTGAACCATGTAGGACTTAGCCAGCATCTTTAGTATTGTTTTATGCTTCAATTATCTTCACGACCGGGTTTACGATTCCGCCGGTACACCTTTTAATTCAATCATCTTCGCTCCACGTCTCAGCACGACTCAACTATCGCATATAATTCTTTTCCAAACATTTCTCGATACAATATTCCTTCCGTACGCATCGTTTTGCCTCTGTACTCTTGGCAAGAATATCTCACTCCCACTGCCCAACCTGCTGCCCTGATACGTCCAGGAGTTCATGCATATCCAAGATAGATCAAGCACTTCGTTAAGCTCTATGTATAGTTTAAAAGCTACGCCATGAGGAAATAGTCAAGATGGGAATATCATCCCAACAACACAAGATCGCTATATGCCATGCCGTCATTAAAGACGCGATACTACAAATAAGGCCGAACACAACTGAGCACCAGTTCGCGACGAGGTAGAAAAGTATCGAGACGCTCAAACGAATATGGCAAAAGAATCACGCCTGATACTGACAGAGACAGAAGAAAACTAAGATTCCCGTCGTACTGAACACCTAGGACCTGATGTCTAAGAAGAAATCCTGTACTTCGGGGCACCAGTATCATACTTTGCCTCAGCAGATAACATCAAACGATTCTGATATCTCAGTCAGAAGCATCAAGGTTACAACAGGAACAAATCGAGTAAGCAAAGCATTCACTACACTTCCCGGTTCTGCAATCTCAGGCAGCACGTCATCAGGTTTACATGCATCTTTCCGTAAACGTCCTACCAACCATAGAGTCCAGTTCGCTCAGCTCATCAGCGACTACACCATGATCTACCCCGTAGTTGTTCTACTTCATCACAAGCCGTGAGGTCGAGGCCAGAGTCGGAACGGCACTAAGGACACCCGCACGCCATGCTCTTTAATCGAGCTTCGCTCAGAATCGATATATTCAAGAGCCAGGTGATATAACCTGAGGCAGGTGCTATCCGAATCGGTAGCACCTAATGAGTTGATCGTTTCAAAGCCAGGATAATCACAGCAAATTGATTTATTGCTTCTTTGGCCTATCTCCGCCGTTGATCGGCCGAGATATTCGCAAGAGCCCCCATTCGCCATCGTCACAATCCCATCACGGCCCATGCGGTCCCGAAGTCTATGCCAGATCCTTAACACAAGAACACCTGCCCAATAACGAGATAGGTACATCTACGGCCATTGAGGATACATACAGATCTCGCGACGCGGATCTGTGAGTCAAGTATACGCACGATTCAGGTACCAGTATGCGTACAAGTTCGCATGTACCCATGCCTGCTTTAGTCCTGTGCCCAGATCTCAGCTTCCATATTGGGGCGTGATAGAAGATCAAAGTGAAGCGGACGGCATCTAGGGATGAGAGCGGAGGCGTTCATCTCGGAAGCATTCCGTTGCCCAACAGAGTTGATGCGCCCTGTAGGGCTGGCACTTGAAGGAATTTCCAGACATGATGGTCAGTGTGATGGACTAAATCGGCTCACCCACATCCCGCGACAACTAGCCTGCGAGGCACGGTTGAGTGAAGGGCAGAAACTGAGTCAAACCCACCACCCAGCATCGAAATACCATCCGTATCTGCTTTGATGCTCCATAGCAACAAGCTATATTCGCACCATGGTAACTCGCTGCGTACTGGTAGATAAATGACGCGATAGTTGCAAAAGGACTTGATCCTGCAAATTCCGAGCGATCACATTCCGATTTGCTCGGCGGGCCATATCAGTGCGTGCCAAGACTTGCGGTGGGTGTCTGGACAAGGCACATGATTCGACTTCCCGGAGCCATACATGATGGCAGATTTCGGGCAGCAATTATGCTCAGTATCTCACGGAAATGCTCAACAAAAGTTAAACGACTGATCCTACCTAGCTGTACCCTCAGGTTGCTGGATCTCAGGCTGTAGCGCTTAAGCTGAGATCGTAGAAGTTGTTCAAGACAACTACGCGCATCCGGTTTCGCTTCTACGGTGAAACGATGGTGAGCGTATGGACCGAGAACGAGGTAGACAACACCAAGTAGCAAAATCCGTGTGTCCAATTACCTGGGATCAGGTACGGACGAGTAGAACACCTCGGAAGCTCGGGATAAATCCGCGACGAAAGCGAGGGGTTGGGAAAATGCCTGCCATTGCCAGCGCCGGACGTTCCTGGTCGAGACCTTAAGCTTAATCGAGTGAGCCGGGCTATCTCGGGGGTATTGGTCCATGGTACGGTCAACTCCCACGACCAGCACCATCGCTGGCGAGCAAGGCATCGAACCAGGAATCAGATTAGGGTTGACTCGGCGGCTGGGCAATAGAAAGATAAGCAGCGCTTGCGCACACAAGGCTCATTCTGATTTTGGTATGCCATTCAGAGGTGGACGTGAGAAGCGATCAAGTGCCGGTGTGGTGCCCGGGTTCCTGTGCGTTGTTGCGCTGGTCGCAGCATTTCTTGGCGCGCGGGGCAATGGTATGTTTAGTTCTGCGCTGCTGCAAAAAAGGTTGCAATAGACATCGTTGGCGGTGGAAGGGTGTTTGCCTGCTGAATCGTTTCACCAATAGTCCTAAGACTTTTCAATGCCTTCTTTCTCGCCAGCCGCATGGAGCTTGAGGCTTGAGCTAGTTGGCTTGCTTGCGATCGCTGCTCGCTCATCTTGGTGACGGGACAGAAATGAACCATTTCGTCATTGTGGGTGGCAGGGGACGTGCTCCGACCTGATCACCTCGGGGAGGCGGTAAATTCGACAACGGGTTGTGGGAAGTAAGATTGGGTGTTCCGCACCGATGCTATCATCATGGCAGCATTGCTAGCGAGGTCGGGATGCCGTTCAATGCCACGCCCAAGCCCGTTGGATCGGCAGGTGCCTGTGATGAGGAACCGCGACCTTGTACCTGTGGTACTGCAAAGAGCGCCGGCCTCATTTGAACGTCGACCGGAGCCGTGGAGGGGTACTCGGAGGCCCGAGTCAGGGGAGGGCATGGGGCCCGAGATCGAGCATCTGGAATCCCTCAAGGCAGCGAGACGGAACGACAAGACGGTCAAGACGGTGGCCAGAGGGGGGATCCATCGGGCGACAGGTGCAGCAGAGCTTGGCTCAAACGCCCAGAAATCGAGAGTCTGGCTGGACGTATCCATACGGAGTTTGAGGGAGGATTCGAGCAATACGTGGAGATGTTGGGATAGTGCCACAGTGCTGGGCAGAAGTCTTGGCCTTTGGAGGAGACGGCGTGCCCGAGAGAGGAGTGACCTTTGAAGCGGAGGCCTCTGGCGGAGACGCAGGAAGATCTTGCACGCTTCCTGGAGGGCCCAAACCCCGCTTTTCCTTTCCATCCGGTGGCTCTCTTGCGATCTTGGCGGAATGGTTGACCTTGAACCTTGGCGGAGAGTCGCAGACTTGTCCAGTGCGAGAATGTTGCACACCACTGCAACCTGTGACCTGCGTCTGCATCCTGCTGCAGCGCTTTGTTCCGTTTTCGACAATGGTCCCCCTAAGGCCCATGGCCAATTCGCTGCACCTCCCCATCCCTTGCCTGGCTCGACACAGGACCGGAAGGTTTGCAGCGAATGGCCTGCCTGTCCTCGCTGACCCGGCGGCACAACCTCTGAGTTTGTGGATTGAAGGGTCCACCGATACATGACGAGAACGAAGAGCCTGAGGGGTCGTGGGGAAGAGACATACACCGCGCACCATGGTGAGAGACTCCGATAGACGGCCGGGTAAAGACCGACCTGCTGACATTTGCCGGTCCCCTCAGGCGTGGGCAGCGCAGCGGAACCGACGGAATTTCAAGCTTTGAGGAGTTGTGAGTGACGAGTAGCCAATTCTCTGCGAAGAATCCAAAGAGCTCGTCAGTTGGTAATTTGATAAAGGGCATAACATTTTGTGCCATCTGGCATCTGGGCCGGTGCGTGACAAAGTGCTCAAATCATGGCGTTTGAGCTGCAGAAGAAAAAAAGAAGAATATCAATAATTCTGTGGCAGGCAATGCAGCAGAGCCAGCCAGGCCATCATCAACAAAACGTTCTTCTTCTCCGCTTGGCAGGCATGTCTCAGACGTTGAGTGAAGGTGCTGATGATGGGCACCCACCCCAACCTCTTGCGCCTCTCTGGTGCCATGCCCACAGCATCTAGTGTGCTAGTGTAGTGTACCTATGTGCCTTGCTGACTCTCCACTGCTTTGTGAGGTGACAGTCACAGAGGGATTTGCAAGAAAGCAACGTGCTATGGGTCAGGGTGTTATCGATTATCGTGGGATCACTAGGTAGTATCCGTGCTGGTGCGAATACCATGGTGTTTGCGCGTGGCGTGGTGTCTAGAGGAGCCGCAAGAGCCTGAATGGACGTCTTCAAGGGCGGGCACTCTAAGCGCATGCGCGATGGCTCTCGTGCTTGGCGGCGTTTCTTGGGTAAATTGACCGTATTTGTAGGTATCTGTAAGCGTATCTGAATTCCGTACTCCGTACTCCGTACACTGCGCTAGACAAACTTCGTATCGGAAACGATGAAAGAAAAGGTTCGCCGCGTGATGAATCCGAGGAACATGGAGAGAGCAGTCTGGGTTGGTCCGCAAAAACGCCGTAACAAGTACTTTCTCAGTCTGTGGCGGCGAACCAAGTCGAAGAAACGGGGTTCGCAGCGGAGACATGGTTGACAGCGGGCGGAAAGGAAGGAAACGCCTTCAATGGATATTCTGGAGGCGCGATATCGTCGTGTGCTCCGTAGTCCGTACTGCATATCCATCGATCCATGATGCGTCGGTGGTTGTGCCATGGGTGCATGGCTCTGCCACACTGGGGCGGTGATCAGAGGCCTGGACAGAGAGCGATACCGTTTGGGGCGGCGCTGGATGGACGAGGTTGAGGATGATTGGGCGGAGAGAGGTCTTGGAAGCACACGACCGGGACCCTATCGAGCGGCCCACCCCTCCCCTCTTCCTCCATCCATGGGCCATGGGTATTGCTTTGGCAGAGGCGGGACATGGGCTTGGTGATGGTGAGCGGATTTGATGACAGACCGGGATGGAGAGCGACCTGAAGCTTCTTCCGGATGTTGGGGGCAGTGCTTGGCCCTTGAGTAGGTGGATCGTGGAAGCTTTGTTGGAATTCGGAGGAAGTGATA